GTCCTGTGATCCTGGGCTTCTTCGGGACGGGGACAATGATGGAGGATTTGAAGCAGGCCGGGACATGGCAGGACTGCAGAGAGGAGTTGAAAATGTCCGTGAACACAGGAGTAAGCTCACTGGCGCAGTGTCTCAGAGTGGCCGGAGACACGTGGTCCGGGCCAGGAGCTTTGCGGGGGTGCAGCCTCAGGAAGAGTTGTTTAATCTCTTTAGCGGCTATTGTTAGGCTGGGGGCAGGGCTGATGGGTGGGTCGTTAGAGTAGTTAGAGTAGTGGGGGGTGGGGGAGGGAGAGGTGTCAGGGGCAGCATCAAAGCGACTGAAAAATAAGTTCAGATCGTCAGCTAGCTTGTGGTCATCAGCACAGGGGGGGGGCTTTGGGTTTGTAGTTGGTGATCTCCCGTAGGCCCCTCCAGACAGAAGCAGTATCGTTGTTACCAAACTGCTCCTGTAGTCGTTCTCTGTGCCGGGACTTGGCTGCTTTCAGTTCTTTCCTGAACTGATATTTAGCTGCTTTGTAGCCGCTGCGGTCCCCCTCCCTGAAAGCAGACTCCTTTGCTTTCCTGAGCTGCCGGAGTTTAGCAGTGAACCAGGGTTTGTCGTTGTTATAGATGACCCTGGTCCTTGTTGGAATGATGCTATCCTCACAGAAGTGGATGTATGACGTCACAGTGTCCGTATATTCATCCAAGCTGTCTGTGGCAGCTCTGAAAAGGTCCCAGTCTGTAGATTCCATGCATGCGCGCAGCTCTTCCACAGCTTCATCAGACCACACTTTGGAGCTCCTCACTGCAGGTTTCGAGAGCTTTAGTCTCTGTCTGTAAGCAGGAACCAGATGTATCATGGAGTGATCTGAGAAGCCGAGGGCTGGCTTGGGAACAGCGCGAAAAGCTCCGCGCACGGTGGTGTAACAGTGATCCAGAGTGTTCTCCTCTCTGGTCGGGCATTTGATAAACTGTCTGTATTTGGGTAATTCCTGGCTCAAGTTTCCCTTATTAAAATCCCCCAGGATAATAATCAGAGAGTCCGGGTATAAGCGTTCCATACACAGTACTTGCTCTGCGAGTGCGCGCTGAGCCTCGCGCGCGTCCGCGCATGGCGGTATGTAAACAGAGGCAAGAATGAATGAAACAATTTCCCGCGGGGAGTAATATGGTTTACAATGAATGAAAAGATATTCCAGAGCAGGAGAGCAGTGCTTGGAGATCACTGTCACATCGTTACACCAGTTTGTATTGACGTAGAAACAGAGCCCTCCGCCTCTGCTCTTCCCTGAGAGCGCACAATGGCGATCCGCGCGAAACAGCCCAAAGCCCTGCAGCTCCAGAGCGCAGTCCGGGATCCGCTCATTTAGCCAGGTCTCAGTGAAGCAGAGGCACAGGATGTGGCGAAGTCCTTGTTTCTTCTCATGAGCAGGCTGAGTTCGTCCATCTTATTGCCCAGTGAGCGTACGTTGGAGAGAAAAATGCCGGGGAGAGCCGTGCGCGCTCCTCTCCTCCTAAGACGCACGAGCAGGCCTCCTCGCTTTCCCCTTTTACGGGCCCACACTTTTTTGGCTAGAACATGAACTAAATCAGCCGCAGATGCCAAGAAAACAGGCAATAGGTCCATGGGAACGGTGGGTCGGATGTTCATAAGTTCCTCACGGGTGTAGGAACAGCCAGATGCACAGTTAAAAAGTAAAAACAAAAGAAAAAGAGAGCAGCAAAGAGCCATGTCGACCGTACGAGGCGACCCTGCACCAGGACGGTCATGGATCTCCAATAATATCAATGCACCAGAACAGATAAATGTTGCATATTATGAGGTTGGGATTTCAGCTTTAAAGGTTATTGATAATTGCACAATGAGCCATGTGGTTCAGTTTGACCCCTTTGACCCCAGATCTATGGCCTCTTCTATAAGTAATGACCCTAAACGATTTTTCAACAGCCCTTTGTCCCTATATGAACATAATTACCAATGTAAAGCAAAGCACAAGGGTAAACAAGGTAAAAGTCACATAAAATAGAAAGAACAGAAGAAATGTGCATATCAGAAATATTAGGATAATCAGTGTTGGAGAGAATGTATTTAGTTACAGAATCCTGAATACCTGCTTTAAAATGTATTTAGTTATGTTTTTATTTAATTATTTATTTGATAGGGATAGTGCACATTCACAAACTTCTGTAGATGTAAATATAGTTTGTATCAGAAAAGCTTAAAGGAGCTATACCCGTTTAACACCGCCCCTCAACTCGCTCTCAGGTCTCTCATTTCCCCTACGCTCTCTTCCCACGGAGCCATCTAGTTTTATTTTCGATCTGATACATATGTAAACATTAGCATTAGTGCATCTTCTTATCACTGATGAAATGGTACAAAAGCAACACGCTTCTAACACAATATATAAGTGAAAGATTACAGCTAGTTTTGCGTCCGAATGTAGTCCGAGGCGGTCCGCAACCACAGGTCCCTCCAGAGGATACGATGTAAGCTAGCTATGTTCACCCGGGCTTGATTTCTTCTCTGATCATTTTTTTGCTTTAGTTCCCTCTTCTCTTCCTCACTGTTGCATCGTTCGGGCTGTTTTGCTGTGTCTGCAGTTACAGCAAGAACAGGTATAGGCACTTTCTGCCTCCATTCTGCTCTTGTTTACCAGCGCTGTAGAAGCTAGAGGACGTAGCCTTCTGTGATTGGAGGAGAGTGGGCGTCACGCACTTTTCACGGCCTGAATTTATACACAAGCTCAATCAAAGAGCTCAAGTTTTCAATGAAATTATGGATTACAATACAACTTGTATGTATTAATAAGCATTTTTATGGACTCATAAAAAAAAAATCTGGTAGCTTCTTTAATTCCATCTGTAGTCCCAATAGATAACATACTGAGAAAATACATTCACAAAAACATTACAGTACATATAAAACTAGCAGGCCGTTAAAAGTGGCTTTCCACAGTTTAAGGTGCAGTCTGACGGTGGACAGCGTGGGACATGCCCTTATAGATTAATTATAAAGCTAAAACGCAGTACAGAACAACTTTGAATTTTGTAAATTGTGTAAAGGATAATATAGATTTGCATCATATAACAAATAGTTTCTGTGCATCTGTGCACCACAACCCACTGCACAGAAACACAAACAAACTTTCCACAAGTGCAAAGAAAGTACTGGGTATTCTGGCCCCAGTTGATTTTCTCTGTAAATATTTTTGTTTATCAATGTATGCATACTTTTTAACCGAAGTGGCTTACGCTCTGTTATTTGAGTTTAGCAAATATGTTTTGCAAATGTGTTTTGCCAATTTAATATGAATGAAAATGATTCCAGAAAGTGGTCCCCTTAGAAGATTAGAACATCCTCCCTACAGGCACCGCTCACATCCCTGAAAGTGATGTTTGCTTCACTTTTGTTGTGATATCTGGCCAAATTTGTATGATTACATACCAAAATGTGTTCTTTACATTTGTACCTCTTTTTTTAATACAATCAAAAGAAAAGGTAATGTATCCTGAATAAATAGAATCCTGAATATGTATTCCGGGTGCATGTGACACTGTACCAAAACACTGCACCAAACACTGGAGATAATGAGCTCTGCTGCAGCCCATGTGGATCATTTTGACCACTGAATCATAAATCTAATCTTGTGTTTACTCCAGCAATGATTAGATCTTTTTTAAATTTAAAAACATCTGGTGTTTGATGAAGCAAACTTTGATGCCTTAAATCTCCCTTGAATCTTGAGGCTTAAACCTATACTACATTTCCTGCAGTCTATTTCGGAAGGAGAAAAACATGACTTTGATATTCCTCGATAAGTACATGCAGCACATTTCCTCTGCTGCCTCCTGCCTGCATCACATGTGGCTCTGAGCCGCTTTAATCAGCTGCTCCACCTCTCGCGCTGTCCTTTCTCCTCTCCTTCTCTTTCTGACAGACACATTTTTCCGATCACACAGCTGAATGGAGAAATGAGCGGCACACGGCTCCAGAGGCTGCAGTGTCACCACTGACTGTAGCATATGCACATGCCAGATTCACTTTGCAGCTCGTCTAAAACCTCACATTCCATCCACAACCCGAATTTCTAAACTCCATATTGCACTGGATACACACTCTTACCTAAACCACCTAACCTTCAAACTGCAACAATGGAACTAGGAAACAATATCTATAACTAGATTCTGAATTATTTTCAAAACAGTTCTAGTTTTCACATCCATGAATGTGAAAAGCCTCTTCTCGAAACAGAGAGGACCACCCTCACTCTCAGTGAGAGTTCTCAACCCAAAGCGTAAACTAGTGACTCACAGGGTTTTTTTGTTTGTTAATTAAACTAGACAATCACTTGTAAACTGCAGATCTCCGCCTAAAGGTGCTGTTACATTCATTAAAAACGTTTCAGATTCAGATCACCTCCAAAAGCATTCCATGAGCCATTATTCTCATTTTCCGGATTTCATCCAAATCCTTTACCAGAGATCACTCTACCCCCTGGGTGGAGGTAATAAAGACTGTCTGATTTGTTCATAATATTTACCTTTACAATACTTATTCTATTGGGGAAAACTATATTATTTATGAAACAAAACAGGCACCCCAGCTTTAAGTGGACAAATTAATCATTTAAAATACTTGCATTGTAGTGTCCTCAACAAAACACTACATGGGAATTATGTTTTGTCACGCTCATTCCAGCAGTTGTTTATATTTGTTTATATTTAATGTTGTAACAGTAGTAAAATGACAAGGAACACTGTACAACAAAATCACTATCAAACAATAAACCAGCTACTGTCAGAGTCAGGTGCACTGTTTTGTATTGGAATCATTTTCAATTAACTGAAACTTTGAGCCGCACCAACATTTTGCTCCAACAGTGTCAAAGATTCACATCACCACATCCATTCCTCTGGCTTCATAGAGGTGGCACATCTGCTGCCTGTGACATATGCCAGTCTGTGAGCCACAGCTGCAGCCCGTGTGAGGCCTGACCTGCTCTCGAAACACTCACCAATCTCACAGCTCTCTCCAGAGAAGCCCTGTGGACAGTAGCAGCTATAACCGTCGCCCTCCTGCAGGCAGCTGCCACCGTGGAGACAGGGGTTGGTTTGACACGGGTTACTGTCCCCTGCAATCACAAACAGACAGGGACAAATTAACAAACAGATTCCTAACAAGAAAAGTGTTTGTCAAAAATGTATTTGTCAATCTTTTCTTTTCATTTTATCCACAGTATCTCTTTCATATGTCTGTGTTTGAAATATGATATATGTCTGTGTTTTTCTCTAAGCTATGATAAAAAATTTAGTTTTTGAGGAACAACCTTTTAAAGTCCAGATACTAAAACATATTAATACAACACAAGACCACACACTCCTCCTGTCCATCTGCTATTGTGCATTTCTGTTCCTTTGAAGTGTTTCTCTTGCTTTTGTCATGTGTATGTTGTATTAAAAGAGATATAAGGGTTTTGCACCAGACTCGTCCAGAACAGACACCCCTCTGTCATCTGGATTGCATAAGCGTTTCTAACTATGTTCTTGAACAATGTTGCATTAAAAAGAAGTGTGTTTTGTTAATGCTCGTGCCACCGGGAGTTCAAGGAGCAGCCGAGATCCCGAAGCCCCAGTGCACCCCTGAGAGCAAGCTCCGAGGAGAAGGGTCAGATTGAACCCACAGGGTATGATTGTTTTAATTCATACCCTGTTGTGAGTTAAATTTTATTAAGAATATATTATATTGTTATATTATGTTATACTATCACATTAATCAATAAAATAAAAGTACATTAATTTTCATACATTCATAGAATCAAGGAATGCAATTAAAAAGTGAGACACACAAAAACCAAAAGTTTAGAACTACAGCTTGTCAACAAATTATTACAATTGTCATCATTCAAAAACCTTTGGATACTCGGTAGAAGTGAATTCAATCATATATAAATGTGTGTTTATGCTGTGGTGTGAAAGTTTCCATGTCGCTATGGGCCGAGTCTCACAGAGTCTGAGCAGAGACGCCCTGACTCCACCTCAGCCGGCTCCTCTGGCTGTTGGAGGAGCAACGACTCTCCTACGGGCTCCTCTCCTTCACAGTCATCAATAAAAGAGTGTAAGTGATTCTTCTAGCTTATCAAGTATGACTTTGTACACAGACAGACGGGTGGTTGTTACAGCCGTCACGACCGTATTCATCATGTCTGATTCTGTGAGGCGAAGGGCAGTTCTAGCACCACCTCCTATCACAGCTCCTCCGCTCTGCCAAGGTCCTCATAAATTAACCAATCAGAGCCCGGTTATGCATACTTCTTTTACAGCTAAAGTCATAAACATTTTTAATATTACTGGGCAGTAACTCAACATTACTTTACTGGAAAGGCTGTGGGGAGTGAAAGGAGGAGATTAAGTCTTAATCAATGCTCTCTCACTATACGATTGAACAGTAGGAGGAGCGGGCTTTGACAAGGACGGTTATTCGACAATGTTTTTTGCACTATGGGGAACAAGTTAGATTAAGTATCTTTTTATTACTGCAGTCCTGATAGGATTGCATCCCCTGACACAGTCTGCCAGGCAATTTAATACACTGCCGCTTCTCCATAATAACAGATTAATGATGTATGGAAGCGGACATAAAGGGCAATGCCTATGTGTGTTTATGTGTCGAGTATGGATGCGTACTAGTCTGACCCTGACTCCTGCTGTTCAATTTCCTGTTTAACGTAGCAAAAGTCCAGTGCAGAGAGATGATGGAGAGGTTGTCTTTGAAAATACATAAAAGTCATTCCCGGAATGAGAAACACCATTAGAGACCGCCTCATTTCTTAAATCAACAACGAATAAGTGGAAAAACAGAGCGGTGCGTGATATGAATTTGAATATGGTCTAAATGTTAATGATTAGCTGATAGATATTTGTTGTTTTCTCAGAGTCTTGGTGTGTAAAAAGAAGGGTTACAGACTCGCTTTGGGCAAGAACACAAGGGGGACAGACTTGCACAGGCGAGTACAAGATTTTTAGATTATTCAAATATTAATACATTTGGCAAATGCCTCAGCTCTGTGCAGCAATACTATTTATAACAAGAACACAATGAAGCCAAAGTCTATTTTCATTATCTGCAGAAAATTACTTGCAAGAATGGGAATATTTTTCAGAAAATGTGTGAAATAAGAAGTGGGACAAGTAATGAGATAATAGAAATATATATAACTTAATATTTCATGTTTTGCAAAATAGTTATTTGATTATAACAAATAATAATCTATTATTATAGTAATATATAATGAGTAGAGATCCTGCACAGATAAAAAGCCTTGCAAAGAAAAGGTAGAAAACCAATAACTATAAGGTTTCCACATCGTGAAAATCCATATTGAAAGATGAAGGTGACTTTCCCTTCAGTAAAGAAATATAATAAAAAACATATGATAATGATAATATATTAAGTTCAAAGCTAAGAACACACTCTTACTATAATTACATTTGCCTGAGTGTAAAAAATAGTGTATATAGTGACTTTGGCATTGGACCATTTAATATGAAGTGTGTCCAGTTTGAATGAGAGCCCAGATTGCAGCGGTAGATCCAGAGGCAGCGGTGCACTCAGTGTGTCGGACAGCTCAGGAGCAGGTCCTCCTTGTAGCCAATAAGCCCCAACGATTCTCAAACTGTGGTACTTTGAATATGAGTGGGGGTCCAATCTATTTTTGGCAGGAGAATGGAGTTTAGGAATAACAACCAAGTTTTATGTTCAGCCAAAAAACAATTGATTATCAACATATAATATTTATTGGATTACAAAAATACTAAAACCTATATGCATCTCCCATTTGCACACTATACATTATTTTAAAATACGTGAGGGTCTGATTCTGAGCTCCAGGCTGTCAATTTCATGAGCCTGTATGTGTTTCATTTGAGAAAAATATATGATGTATGTATATTATTATACATACATAATGTATGTATAATAATATACATAAATTGCATGTGATACAGTGCCTTGCGAAAGTATTCGTCCCCCTTGAACCTTTCAACATTTTGCCACATTTCAGGCTTCAAACATAAAGATATAAAAAAAAAAATTTTTTTTCATGAATCAACAACAAGTGGGACACAATCGTGAAGTGGAACAAAATTCATTGAATAATTTAAACTTTTTTAACAAATAAAAAACTGAAAAGTGGGGCGTGCAATATTATTCGGCCCCTTTACTTTCAGTGCAGCAAACTCAGTCCAGAAGTTCAGTGAGGATCTTTGAATGATCCAATGTTGTCCTAAATGACTGATGATGATAAATAGAATGCACCTGTGTGTAATCAAGTCTCCGTAAAAATGCACCTGCTCTTTGATAGTCTCAGGGTTCTGTTTAAAGCGCAGAGAGAACCATGAAGACAAAGGAACACACCAGGCAGGTCCGAGATACTGTTGTGGAGAAGTTTAAAGCCGGATTTGGATACAAAAAGATTTCCCAAGCTTTAAACATCTCAAGGAGCACTGTGCAAGCAATTATATTGAAATGGAAGGAGTATCAGACCACTGCAAATGTACCAAGACCCGGCCATCCCTCCAAACTTTCATCTCAAACAAGGAGAAGACTGATCAGAGATGCAGCCAAGAGGCCCATGATCGCTCTGGATGAACTGCAGATAACTACAGCTGAGGTGGGAGAGTCTGTCCATAGGACAACAATCAGTCGTGCACTGCACAAATCTGGCCTTTATGGAAGAGTGGCAAGAAGAAAGCCATTTCTCAAAGATATCCATAAAAAATCTTGTTTAAAGTTTTCCACAAGCCACCTGGGAGACACACCAAACATGTGGAAGAAGGTGCTCTGGTCAGATGAAACCAAAATCGAACTTTTTGGCCACAATGCAAAACGATATGTTTTGGCGTAAAACAACACAGCTCATCACCCTGAACACACCATCCCCACTGTCAAACATGGTGGTGGCGGCATCATGGTTTGGGCCTGCCGAATAATATTGCACGCCCCACTTTTCAGTTTTTTATTAGTTAAAAAAGTTTAAATTATCCAATACATTTCGTTCCACTTTACGAATGTGTCCCACTTGTTGCTGATTCTTGAAATTTTTATTTATTTATATATCTTTATGTTTGAAGCCCAAAATGTGGCGAAATGTTGAAAGGTTCAAGGGGGCCGAATATTTCGCAAGGCACTGTATCTGGAGACTGAACCGAAAACAGCACTTGTCTTTCCCTCGATAGTAAATACAGATGTCTTCAGCACTGTAGCCATCTTTCTGGATCTATTGAACTGTTCTTTCATCGGACCACATCTGAGAATCCCAAACATGAGAAACAGGAGGTTTACACCAAGGAAAAAAACTATGTTCTCACCAGGTTTAGGCTAGTTATTTTCCTTTGCTCAATGCCACTATTCTTGTGATCTATTTGTAGTAAAAAATAAATGCACATAATATTGTCTACAGAATGTTGTCATTTTATGCCATAAATGGTCTTATCTTATTAGAACTTTGACTCAAATATATACATTTTTTTATTTTCATTGATTGCCGTATCGACACTGTCTGACCAAGTCCCACCCCAATAATGAGATCAAAAGACCCTCTTCTCAGCATCTATCTGGGAGCATTGATAAATGAGAGCTAGGCTGTGGAGCAGTTGCAGGCAGAGGACATTGATTTAATCTCCAGACAATTAGTAACGACTTATTAGCCACAAATGAGTGCACTGTTTCCAATGACACCACAAAAAACAAACAAGAGAAATTTGCATTATTCTTCTTATTCATTTTGTGGCCAACTTCAGGAAAATAATTTTAAATTGTAAATCTAATAACACAGAATTCATAATTTGTTACCTCACACTGAACAAAAGTGAAAGCTTCTGAAGACAGAGGTGCACTGAGGTGGACCAATGTTGATGCAAACAATCACTTATCACACTGTTCCCAATTCAAAAGATAGTAATACAAATGTTGTTTTAAATTATAGACCACTAAGTCAAGGGTCCTATTTCCTGTCCTTTGAACCCCACATTGAGGACCATACTACATTTCCTTCTGCATGATACATGTTTGTGCCTAAACTAAACAGACAGAAAGATACTTATATTCTCTTCATTAGTCGTAAGAAAAGACATC